GCCGGCGCTACCTCTAAGGCGAACTAGACGGTCGCCTAGGGCGCCATCCCTAGGGGGGGGGGGCGCAAATGGTTTAATCTCTAATATCAAGAAATAACTTGATAATAACGAATAACTTTTATAAAGGAGTAGCGATCTATTTCGGCACCCAGGACGAATTATCAATTTTGCACCCCCACCACAAACTTAGGTCTATATAGGCCTATATTTATTTGCGATGGTGAAAATGCAACCCCACCTCCCTAATTTGGAAAGGTCGGGGCGCTTTTTACCAGTCACTTTGCCTTTCTAATTTGGTGTCACATAACTGATGTAAAAAACGAATTAAATAAGTTCGTAATTCAAATTTCGAACATTTTATTAGGGCCTGTAAGTCACTCTTAAACTATTAATATTTATTAAATAGGATGGATTATATAACAAACTGTAAACTTTGTTTTTTCAAATTATATTTTTTTAATATTTAATCAATAATTCTTGCAATATCTAAAACAGTTACCAGTGTTTGATTAATGATTTTTTGAAAGACATCCCTTTATTTAGGGGATCCAAAATTTTATTTGACAGTCATAAGGTGGAATAACCATTAACTGTAGGTCATCAGAATTGAATATAAGTATGCTATAATAAAGCTACCGTTTTTAGACTTTCGAACAAAACTTACAGTTAAGTATTCAATAAGTAAAATATATTGTTTTCACTAGGTTACATAGCTAATATAAAAGATTTGTTATAAATGTAACGTAATGAAATTTAGAACGTTTATTGTGTTTTTCAAATATGCCTTAATTACATTTGGTTAATTTAGCAAGTTTTGTGAAAGTTATGTCCCTTGAATAAAATTTTGTTATTTGGATTTTCAAATTGGAGATAATTCGTTGCTTAACTTTACATTCATTTCGAATTCCTGCACCTTAGGTTGGGGTGTAGGACAAAAGGCCGACATCCAAAAGGCCGACAAGATATAAGGCCAACACGGACAAAAGGCCGACAGCCAAAAGGCCGACAGGACATAAGGCCGACAGGACATAAGGCCGACAGCCATAAGGCCGACAAACCATAAGGCCGCCAAACCATAAGGCCCACAAGCATAAAAAATACTAATATCGCAAAAGTTGTGTTACTGCATAGCTCCTATCATGACAATCATCGAAATAAGGCATGAAAAAAGGTAAAACCTTCAAGAGAAGAGACGGTGCTAGTTGCTACCCTTATAAGGTGAACCATCGGGTCAAGCGACTGGAAATTACGGGTGTGTCTTAAATACAAAGGATCAACACCTAGATTTTGCGAAATGCTGTCACTGCTGTCTTTCATAGCTCCTTCTATGCAATCGAGTTGAGATAATCATCAAAGAACCAAGTCAAAAGCCGCCGGCACCATCGCCCACATGCAACAAGGTGGAACGCCAAGAGACAGTGCTAGTTTCGATCCTTATAAGGTGAACTATGGGGTCCATGCGACTGGAGATGACGGGAGTGTACAAAGAATAAACAGACAGGTGGCGTTACCACCATATTTCGCAAAGAAAGCAAAGAAACCGAATGAAGTAGAACAATCGCGTGCCTTGACTAGACTACATGTTAAATACAGACAAAATGTGAATTATATTTTAGTTTCGTCCATTGCGAATTGCGTGAAAAAAAGTGTGTATTATATTGGTTGGATTCATTAATTATGTTGTGATTGTGATACAAGTGTGCCGAAATTGGTAAGTTATTTTTGTTTTTTGTGTAAACTAACCCCTGTGATTTCCCTATATATGGACCAATATATCAGCAACAAATAATTAGTTACATCGTGTGTTTCATTTTATCCTATTGTATGTACCTAAGAATATTTATTAGAAACTTAAAAAGTCGTAAATAATTACATATTTTAGATATTAAACATGGCTGTAATTGTAGTTTGTGTCGTCGGCCTTTTGGATGTCGGCCTTTTGTCTTGTCGGCCTTTTGGAAGTCTGCCTTTTGGCAGTCGGCCTTTTGTCTTCTCGGCCTTTTTGTCCATGTCGGCCTTTTGTCCTGATCCCCTTAGGTTGACCGCTTGCCGCCAGAGGCGTAGCGACCCTTCCCGGCGCCCGGGGACAAACTTTTCGATTTACACCCCCCCCTCGAGATTTTGATTTGCACCCCCCCTCAAACTTTCAATTTGCACCCCCCTCAACCTTTCAATTTATTTTTCCAACCCATTTTGGCGCCCCCTAAGCTCGGCGCCCGGGGACATATGTCCCCCCCCCCTCGCTACGCTACTGCTTGCCGCTTACATATAAATACAACTTTAAGTTATTATTTGCTACTGTAAAAAATTATAGAGCTTAAGTTATAAACAAAACAGTTTGGTAGGTTTTTTTAGCATTATCAAGTTGAAAACAAATACATCATTAGCCGTTGTAGATTGCAATACTTAATGTTAGTAGACATACAGTCTTATTCGTAAATTAAACTTACACCGTGTATGCAATTGATAATAAATTAATATGTTACTTTTAATTATTTGTTTTCTTATACATATGTTTTAGTAATTAATTTTTGTGAAATGGGGAGTTTAATAAGTTTTGCCTAGAGCGCTAAATAACCTGGCGCCGGCACTGGAAAAGCACCGCAACACAAACATTTAATTTAAGATAAGTATCTTCTTTTATAGGAATTTAAAGTGTTTAAGTTGCTATGAAAAAGAATTGTATTGTTTCTGTATTCAAGGAATTTGTGTGAAAAAAAAATCATATAAAACGTTTTAATAACAAGATTTTATGTAATAATGCATTAAAAAGGAGAAGATAAATTATAGACTACTATTTAAATAACTATAAAGAAAAGCGTGGGTCACTTAAGTATCTATTGGACACCTTTACTAACATTTAGGAAGAGATTGTATACATTTCATTAATTACGTCTCGATAAGTAAATCTATAGATCTAAATCAAATTTTAATGAAATAGTTCATTTCATCGTATTCTAAAATTGGAAGATGACGCAATTGGTTTTGTATACTTTCCGTACTTCAAACATGTCACACGTGACGTCATCGATTTCGGCGTTCTTGTCACAACTATAAACACTTTTCCGGTTGCATAATTAAAACTGTTTTTCTACATTCGAATATGCCTTTATTTTTTTTATTTTTCTTCTTTAAATAAAATTTTGCTTATACATTTAAACCATCTACCATATTATTTTCAACAAAAGTCCGTATTAAGTTCTCCATATATCGCTGAAGATGATGATATCATAGCCTGTGAAAAGATTTTGCGGACAGAGAGAGAGAAGTGCGCACATAGTCTTTTATATATTAGGATACACTACAAACAGGCTTTCATTACATTTCGCTGATCATTGGTTCTCCGCATTTATCTGGCCACCCGCCCGTGAACTCTAATCAGTGTTGGTTTTATCGTGATGACTTCTGGCTGAGTACATCAAACAATTCAACCACCTCCCTCGGGCTTAAAACGTCACGGATCAATGGTGTGATGTAAACCAGTTCAAGAATTTTAAACTGCTAGGCTAAATGCTCGGGGATGTGTACAGTTTACAGGGCTTTGTTGTATACATTATCAAGTGACCTTGGCTAGACACTACCGTTCGAAGGGCGGGCTCAAGAATTTGTTTTCCTTATGCACTCTTGTATTGCCCCCTCCCCCACCTACTCCCCACTAAAATTCCAGTCCCTGGAAATTATAGTGGCAAGGGCGGGCTCAAGAATGTTTTCCTTATGCGTGCTTGTATTGTTGAAACAGAAACAGATTCCTACAACCACTAACACACCCTCGATCCATGCTGGGGTGATGCACACATTTACTAAAACCACGCGTTGATTGCAGAGCCCAATGATAATGTTTTTTTTAGTCTACTTAGAGTATAATACTAAAAAAAAAGTCGCAACTCTTTTCCCTAGGCCCTATGACGTCTGTTGGGCAAGGTCCGCTCCTTACACCGAAGCAAAATAAAAAAAAAAAAAATCAAACGAAATAGGCAAGGGATAAAAGGCCATTTAGCAGCAACAATCTCCTTCCACTTCCTAGCCGGGTCTCTGGAGTTAATGATTTTTACTAGCTTATTTGTATAAAATTTACGCGTGGTATTTGAAATTACTTCCGGGTTAACTCAGACCATACTATACATTGTTTACATGCAAGTAACCTATACAACAACCAACAAATAGTATAGCTACAAGAAACCTAATAGATGTACTCTCGCCAATACAACAACCAACAAATTGCCTATAACTACAAGACACCTAATAGATGTACTCTTGCCAATACAACAAACAAACTGTATAACTACAAGACACCTAATAGATGTACTCTCGCCAATACAACAAACAAATTGTATAACTACAAGACACCTAATAGATGTACTCTCGCCAATACAATAAACAACAAATTGTATGGCTACAAGACACCTAACAGATGTACTCTTGCCAATACAACAAACAAACTGCATAACTACAAGACACCTAATAGATGTACTCTCGCCAATACAACAACCAACGAATTGCCTATAACTACAAGACACCTAATAGATGTACTCTCGCCAATACAACAAACAAATTGTATAACTACAAGACACCTAATAGATGTACTCTCGCCAATACAACAAATTGTATAACTACAAGACACCTAATAGATGTACTCTCGCCAATACAACAACCAACAAATTGTAAAGCTACAAGACACCTAATAGATGTACTCTCGCCAATACAACAAATTGTATAACTACAAGACACCTAATAGATGTACTCTCGCCAATACAACAACCAACAAATTGTAAAGCTACAAGACACCTAATAAATGTACTCTCGCCAATACAACAAATTGTATAACTACAAGACACCTAATAGATGTACTCTCGCCAATACAACAACCAACAAATTGTAAAGCTACAAGACACCTAATAGATGTACTCTCGCCAATACAACAACCAACAAATTGCCTATAACTACAAGGCACCTAATAGATGTACTCTCGCCAATACAACAATCAACAACCCACAACTTACCTGCAAGTAAGCTAGAAGGCGGAGCGTGAAAGTTGCTATGTATAAAGAGTTTGTAAAAAAGTCTAGAATATTCCACATGTCGTGGATGTACTCGATGGCCCCCTCGTCCCAGAGTTGTTTGATCTCGCTCCACATCAGACCTGTTTTAAAAGACGAGCCAAAAGTTAATTGCCAATTTACTTCATCAGAATTAAACTTCCATAATTACACCCCCATGAAAGGTATCTCAGGAGATAGTCGTAAAAATCAATATGCGCTCATAAAAAAATTCAATGTAGTTTTATTTTTTATTTGTCTCCAATAGTTAAAAAGTGGAATTTAGTTTTCATATAGACTCTGAAATAAAGGTATTTAGTCATGAGGTACCTCTGTTCAAGTAGAAGAGAGTACCAAATTGTTACTAAATAAAGATATTTAGACTTGAAGTACCCAAACGAATACCGAATTTTCTCCTAAATAAAAATATTTAGACATGAGGTACCCATATGAATACCGAATTTTCTACTAAATAAAGGTATTTAAACATGTGGTTGGTTGCCCTTGTATGATAGCCCTAGATAACACCGAACATGTCCTACAGGACTACAGCATACACCAACAGACACAGTCTAGATACTGGCCCCAACACAGTCTTAGAGAAAAAAATGTTTGGGGAGCTGGCACATCTAGAGACGACCGTGCAGTAAGTCTGTGATGTTGGTCTTGTTGTATGGTTCCCTCTATATAGAAATAGTAAGAACGACGACGAAGAAGAAATATAATAAGGTTTATTATGTTAACTGTCGTTTTAGGGAGCCGGACGTTTTCCCGAAAGACAGTTGCCCGAATGCCGTTTGCCCGAAGGCCGATTTCCCGAATGGACACTTGCCCGAACGCGACAAATGCCCGAATGGACACTTGCCCGATTGGTACCGAATGCGACAAACGCCCGAATGGACACTTGCCCGAATGCGACAAATGCCCGAATGCCACTTGCCCGAAGGCCGTTTGCCCGAAAAATGTTAACATTATATATTGCCAAATAGTCATTTGTAATCAATTAAAATTTGAAATTTTGATAAACAAAAATAAAGGGAGAATAAATTATTTTCCATAATTTATATTATATATTACCATGCAGAAATTTTAATAAATTTATATTTGCTATATAAAAAGTGTATAAACATTTTTCTTTTCTGTCTATGACATTACACAAAAGTTTATCAAAAGTTTTATTGTGTGACATAAATATTTTCATTGTTGTTATTTATTTCTTATCAAATCATGAATCATGATGTGAAAAAAAAAAAAAAAAAAAAAAAAAAAAACAAAAAAACAACGAAAATACTAGTAAAGATTTTACAACAGTTTCAATCAGAGATAGCCGGAGACAGTCAGGGTCCGAACCCGCGAATATGGGGTTATCAAGCGAATATTCTACCGCCAGACCACGCCGTCCCATAGCCACGTTACGCCTTCCATAATATAACCCTGTGCCTGCTGTTGTTTATTTCAGTATTGCTTATTTCGTCAAGAGACTGTGGAATTAAACATTGTGCGTATTTCATCCGTCGGCGATCTATATTTGGCCAAACACGACTTAATCGAGCGATTTTAAGACTTCCTGAACTTCCGCTGACAATCAGCTTAAAACTCATTGAATTGGAGCTAAACCTAACGTCATTCTCTAATCCAAGTAAAAATTCAAATTAGACTTCCCCAGCAGGGACTATTTCCCCCACTCAGCAGACGATTCATTTAACTGTCCGCCAAATCGAAACTTTACCAGTACCTCAAGTCGACAGGGCAGAAACATCACCAACCGCCCAGAAAAGGCAGATAAAAAAATATTTTCCCCTGCCCGAGCTAGACACGTGGTGATTATGCTAATTAAGAGTGCGTCACCAAAATTTGACAGACGATTATATATATTTTTTTTAAATGTACGATAAAGTAAAAAGAAATCTTTTAATTGATTTTACTTTCAACTTCTTAACAAACGTCTGGGTGGTACGTCCATTGTCTGGAGCAGAATTAAACCGTCATATTGTAAAGTAAGTAACTTAAAATTCCGAAATATCTAAAAAAAAATGTAATAACCTGCCTCAAGATAGGAAAAAAAAAGAACAAGAACGCCACACCCCCCCCCCCACCAATGAAAAACTAATCAAAAATAAAAACAAAAAGTAAGACTACAAGCAACCAACCACTCTCCTACATAAGAAAACAGCCAATTAATCAACCAGTCTTCGACATAAGAAAACAACCAACTAACCAGCCTGCCACTTAGGACAACAACCAACCAACCAACAAACCGCCTTGCTATACCATACAACAACCAACTGACCAAGCTGCCATACACTACAACAAACAAGACAACCAACCTGCAACATAGGGCAACAATCAAACCAACCAACCAACCTACCTGCCATACAACACAACATCCAACCAACCTGCCATACAACACAACAACCAACCAACCTGTCACACAACACAACAACCAACCAACCTGCCATACAACACAACATCCAACCAACCTGCCATACAACACAACAACCGACCAACCTGCCATACAACACAACAACCGACCAACCTGTCACACAACACAACAACCAACCAACCAACCTGCCATACAACACAACAACCAACCTGCCATACAACAACCAACCAACCTGTCACACAACACAACAACCAACCAACCAGCCATACAACACAACAACCAACCAACCTGTCACACAACACAACAACCAACCAACCAGCCATACAACACAACAACCAACCAACCTGTCACACAACACAACAACCAACCAACCTGTCATACAACACAACAACCAACCAACCTGTCACACAACACAACAACCAACCAACCTGCCATACAACACAACAACCAACCAACCTGCCACACAACACAACAACCAACCAACCAGCCATACAACACAACAACCAACCAACCTGCCATACAACACAACAACCAACCAACCTGCCATACAAGAACCAAGACAACCCACCTGCAACATATGCCAAGATGACCCACTCAACAAGTGAAGCTTGCGACCCGCGCAATTCTTTCTTCAGTTGCCCGTCCCGCCTCATCTCGTCCTCGCTTATCTTCATCACCTCCACTCTCTGAGATACTAGGATAAGTAAAACTGGGGAGTACAGGGATATTAGGGATAATGACTAGATCACCTCCACTCTCTGGGATACTAGGATAAGTAAAACTGGGGAGTACAGGGATATTAGGGATTGTAGTTGGATACATCACCTCCACTCTCTGGGATACTAGGATAAATAAAACTGGGGAGTACAGGGATATTAAGGATTGTAGTTAGATACATCACCTCCACTCTCTGGGATACTAGGATAAGTAAAACTGAGGAGTACAGGGATATTAGGGATTGCAATTGGATACATCAGCTCCACTCTCTGGGATACTAGGATAAGTATCACTGGAGAGTACAGGGATATTAAGGATAATGGCTAGATCACAATATTCTGGGATACTAGGATAAGTAACACAGTAAAGTAAAAGGTTAATAGGTATAGTTTTTGGAAAGATCATCTCCACTCTGAGATACTAGGATAAGTAAAACTGTGAAGTACAGTTGGGAGTGGAGTTATGCAAATTGCTTAAAAAAACACTACATTTTGTCCCTGGGATATAAGGATAGGTAATTCAGTGGGATCATTTTGTCCCTGGGATATAAGGATAGGTAATTCAGTGGGATATGAGGATTTCCTGTATGTACGAGTGAAACAGTTTTATGAACAATGCGTGATGACAAGGGAAAGAACTAAAATCTTGTCAGGATCATCTGCACGTCTTCAGAGTCCTTTTTATTCCTTAGGTTTGTGTAACGTTAACAAAAAGATAAAACCTGTAACTTAGAGGCATCAATATCGTAGTTAAAATTACAATAATATTTGCATAACGTGAATTAAACGGCTAGATGGGTGAAAGTTAACATTGAGAGAAAAGAAAGTTATCATTAGCTTTCAATAACAAAGTGGATGCATCTAAATCTGAATAACATTGATATTAAAAAGTAACGGGATCTAGTTCACAACAATATTTTGATAAACGAAACAAATGTTTTGTAATCGTAGATAACTTACATAAAAATCTTAAGAAAACTAGAATTTTATAAACATCATAAACAAAACAACGTATCAATAAGGGAAATAATTCTAATAAAAATATGTCAGGAAAAATAAATAACAACCTTCAAAAAAATATTAACTTGGATGGAAATATTTTTAAAAAATATATATAAAAAAGGCAAAATATAAGTAAACAAAATTAATGAAATGGCTTAAAAAAAGGAGAGAATAAATCCTAGGGAAAACATAAACTTGAAGGGAAATAACTCACACAGAAAAACAACGTATGAAGTGCAGTGTATCATGAATTTGATGCAGGGCTTGGTGATCAGCTGACCGACGCTGCACTTGGGTGCGATGAGATAAACAATGGACAGCACGGGGAACAGGGCGCCGATGATCCCCATGATGGTCAGCTTGGAGAGGATGGACCGACGTCTGAAGCCCGGCAGGCCCTCGTACCAGAGGGAGGCGAGAAGTTGTTGGCAGTTGGGGTGGGCGACAAACTGGCCAGATGGAAAAATCAATATCATAATCCATTTCATATATATATATATATATATATATATATATATATATATATATATATATATATATATATATATATATATATATATATATATATATATATATATATATTTATATAAATATATACACACATTTATGTATCTCTCTCTCTCTCACTCTCTCTCTCTCTCTCTCTCTCTCTCTCTCTCTCTCTCTCTCTCTCTCTCTCTCTCTCTATATATATATATATATATATATATATATATATATATATATATATATATATATTTAAGCCTATATATTATATATAGATCTATGTATAAATGTAGAAAATGTACATTTTAATAAAGAATGCTCATATCGTTTATATAAAAAGGTAAACATTTATGCGAATATATGAATACATATTGATATCGATATTATTTACTACCTGCAATACAAGCATATTTTTTTATGAAGCGGGTATGTTTACATCATTAAACGTAGGTATCATTAAAATGCAGGCCTATATCGTTACAATTTACATAATAAAAAATACGCGGTTATAAAAATTAACGACTCAAAAGAGAAAGTTTATGCTTTGATTATTTAATTACATATGCACCGAGCCCACCCCTTGCCCTCTAGTAAAGGTTAATGGTAATTAGTTGTAAAAATGGTGATCTAGCCAGAGGAACAACCCTACAACAGTAGTTATGGCCTAGGTCGTAGCACTCACTATAAATTATAACAGCGTGTTTAGTTCTATGTTTTACACTATCGTATGTGTAAAACCAAGGCACAACATAGCCGTTAAATACGGTAAGAACACAACATCATGCACGAGAGTGATGCCATTGCTTTGTTTTGACACTTAGCTGACGTGTTCGTTAGTTCACGATGATATTTCTTTTTGCAAAATGGCTTCCAGCTATCCCTTTGACATTCATCCTGATTCATCTCAGACACCCGGGGGGTGGGGTGAGGGTCAGTCAGGGGACAGTACAAAGGATGGGAGGGTCTTATGCTCGGTTGTTTATCCTTTTCTTTGCAGGTCGTGCAAAAGGAGCTATGTGGTGTGATATCATTTACGGACAACCCTATGTGTACTTAATTGATATAGCTGTTTTACATGAACAAGTTAGATGGTGACGTAACCAAAGGACGAACAGTGATGTAACCAACAGACGAACAGTGACGTAACCAAAAGACAAACAGTGACGTAACAAACAGACATATAGCAACGTATACAACAAAAAATAAAAGCCAAATTAAAAATCTAAACTTTCTACACAAACCTTTAGGCTTAATGTTTAATGACCAAATGCTTGAGGAAAACTTACTCTGGTTTGATAATTCCCAACGATACACAACCTCCATCCGTAGCAGTGCGGGTGGTGGGGGCGGGGGGGGGGGGGGGGGGGGAGGGGAGGTTCCTCAGAATTGGGGGATTGGGGGATGTTACAGATCTACACTATGAAAATAATGTTTACAATATCACATATTACACTGTATTTTATACCATAAAATGTACAGCGCATGAATTGTTAGCACTTGATTATACCCGGCTTTACGCATTTGAATGAGAATTACTTGGCTTTAAAAACTATAATATTATTCATTGCTTCAGAAAGATGTTTTTTTTTTCAATGTTTTTATTTCTATGTAAAATATTTTGTAAAAGAGCGTCCGATTTGCTCCTGCCCTCGTGGGATTGTAAAATACCATGATGTGGCTACCAGGGGTTCTAATTTCCTCATCAAACGTCCCCGGGAGTTGCAGATCCAGTTGGTGGCATCTGGAACCACAGGGAATCATCCCAACCTCTCCCCCCTCCCCCCCCCCCCATCCTCCGGGATGTGTTTTTCTTTTGCCGCTGAGCTGCTCACCAGCCTTCTGCCAGATCATCTGCGCATGCGCGCTGTAAACGACTTCCGCTCGAATGTGTTGTTTGATTTACAACTGGTCTCAATAGAGGACAGGTACAAAATTTCCGTGAGTTAAAATAAAATAACGCGGGTAATTGCAATTTCAAAACATTGAGTTGAGTTTTGTTTTGTAAAGTTGAGTTGAATGGTGTTCAATTATCGAGATTAGACCGAATGTTACAATTTTGTAACCCAATTCTATTTCAGCGATTTCGTTCAAACTTTGTTTTTGCAATTATCAAGACATACATGTTTCAGACATTTTTAGTTTAGTTTGATTACAAAAAAAAAAAATAAAGTACAAAAGTTAGCTATTATTTTGGATTAGAAGCTATTTTTCCCACGTTTTCTTTAACTTGCTTTCTCTGTGTGTTTCTGTGTTTGTCTTTCCAATCAAATCTTGCGATCGAAATTTCTGGCACTTCCCAGTTAGCTAGCGCGCTGAAATTTTCAGGGAAGCTTTCTTTTGGATGACCATAGAATAATCACTTGTTATTATTACTAAATTGATCAATGGAAACATTTTATTGAGCATTTTAGACCGCTATATAATCTATATATATTCTCCTCTGCGAGCCATTAGAAAAAAAACCAGCGACGCGTAGCTAGCCTCTCTCTTGCCGCGCGCAGTGAAGCGAACGATCCCACGTCTGCTTAGGGGCAGATAATTTCGTTTTAACCGACTATAAACTTACAGAAGGTAGGCCAGTTTGGGGGAGACGATATGGTCGAGTGGTTGGGCACACGATTGCTATCCCACTCGACACGGGTTCAAATCTATGTGTTCTAGTCAGTAACGTATTCACACAACGTGTTTTTTACGAGTTGTCTTTTTACGAGTTGTCTTCGTTTACCCAACAAAAAAGTGAAAAGATAAAATCGATAGCAAGATTTTAATGCAAACAAACAGACAAAGACTAAAAAGTAGAAAATAATAATCATTAAAAAAGTTTTAAAAAACCCACGTTTTCTGATTGAACTAAAAAGTAGAAAATAAATGTTATACATCACAATAATGCAAGCTATCACTCTACTATAAGCGATCAAAAACGTGGGGCGCCGTGATTTTCTTACAGTTTCTAATACTGTTGACTCTCTACAAGCTCCCTAATAAAAGTCAATAGTATTATCTAATAAATAGTAATATAACTTTTACTTCGGCGCCCCACGTTTTTCATCGCTTATAGTAGAGTGATAGCTTGCATTATTGTGATGTATAACATTTATTTTCTACTTTTTAGTTCAATCAGAAAACGTGGGTTTTTTTAAACTTTTTTAATGATTATTATTTAAAAAGCAGCAATGAGATTCAGACCAATTTCAATTCTGCCTCAGAATGTCGCAATTCAATGAAATTATCAGTGATCGAGAAAGTGGCTCTTAAATAAAAATCAACTCAACCAAACGCATCAAGATTCAGTGATCGAGAAAGTGGTTCCTATATAAAAATCAACTCTACCAAGAACATCGAAATTTGTTAGATAAGCAAACATCGCATCTCAACTGCAAACTTTTAACATAACGAGTTGCACGGAGATCGATTTTTTTACTATCATTATTTATTCAATGTAGCGTACACGGTAAACATTGATCAGTCGTTCAAAATGTGATTAAAATACTCAGGTAGGAAGTTGTGTATTTGCAGTTACAGGCATTGAAAACACCATAGACACACACTTTAAATTTTAAACACACTTTAAACATAACTTGAACACACTGAACACACCATAGACACACACTTTAAACACAATATCAACATAACATGGGCACAAACTGAACACAACTGGCCATCTAGGTCAAACTAAAGGTCAGTTAACAGTTGTTATCCCATAAATAACGAACCCCCCCCCCCCCACCCCCCACTTGTTTGGTATAGAAACTAAAACAAAGATGTTCTAGAAATTTCGTATAATAGCATGCAACAGACAATGATTTCAGTTTTCTTAATGACCAAATTAAAATTAATATTGTTTAACATTACAAACATTGCATTGAGTTTAACAACAAATATTGCCTTCAGTTTTACATTCTACCTAGGTGTGTCACGTTTTAGGTGGTGAAGTGGGGGGGGGGGGGGGGGGTGGGGAAACCAAATTAGAGTGAACTTAGCGTCAGTTTTTAGATGATTGTTCTAAACATACATATACAATTATACATATATACTGATTCAGAAATAGATTTAAGTAAGTAACAGTGGTATTATGACAGTAAATTTTTTTTACAGAGGGGTCCATGTGGGGGGGGGGGGGGGTTGTAACCCCCCTAACCCCACCCTGCCTACGCAACTGATTGACGGTAATATAGGATTGTAAGAAATGTAAGGATTGTAGGCAATATAAAGAATGTAGGCAATATAAAGAATGTAGGCAAAATATGGATTGGATGAAATATGATATTTAAGCTACACTATGATTGTGGGCTACATCAGGGATGGTGCTGTGGGAATATTATTCCAACTTTTTGATTAGCATTATCTACAGGAACCCACCCCCCCCCCCCCACCCCTCACCCCCACCTCATAAAATTCCTCCATCTTTTGTTTATTTAAGTTCACAAACAAACAGGAGAAAAAAACTCCACGATAACAAGATGAAGGCCTTTACGAAACAATAACAAGCTGGAGGTCATTACGAAACAATAACAAGCTGGAGGTCATTACGAAACAATAACAAGCTGGAGGTCATTACGAAACAATAACAAGCTGGAGGTCGTTACGAAACGATAACAAGATGAAGGCCATTACGAAACGGCACCGTTGACGCGGCGACCACACGAAAAACTCGGACCACAGTTTCCCGTATCAACAGATCATCCAACCGGAAGTGACTTCATAAAATGGAGGTCAACTGTCAATTAGTGGCGCCCCCTATGTTTTCCGAGAGCGTGTTGGCCGGTGACGTGAGCCGACCGTCCAGGGTCGTCGGTGGATGGGGATAATGGCGTCATGGTGGTCATGTGACTCAGAGGCGTAGCGAGGGCGGGGGGTGCGGACCGCAACGGGTGACACCATTTAGGGGGGTGACACCAAGGCAAAAAATAGTAAAATATATAGAGAAAAATGTGAGGGGGGGGGGCGTGCAAAACGAAAGTTTGAGGGCGGTGCAAATCGAAAGTTCGAGGGGGGGGGGGGGAGAGGTGCAAATCGAAAGTTCGGGTGGGGGGGGGGTGCAAATCGGAAAGTTTGTCCCCGGGGGGAAGAGTCGCTACGCCTCTGCGGGGGGGGGGGGGGGGGACGACACCATTAAGTGCCACACCGGGTGACATCCGACCTCGCTACGCCACTGATGTGACCGGGGTGGATGGAGATAATGGCGTCATGGTGGTCATGTGACCGGGGGTGGTTGGGGATAATGACGTCATGGTGGTCATGTGAACGGGGGTGGTTGGGAAGGTTTTTAAATGCTTGGTCAATGATTGGTCAAATACCAATTTAAAAACCATTTTAAAACAGTTTTATATTTAAAAAATGCACAGCATGAATAAATAAAGAGTGTTATTAATTAAACATATAGCCTCTTCCAAACTTTTAATTTTAACAAATTAACACTAATGCACACCTTAATTGAGCTTATAAGAAAAAAAAAACATAACTTAAATTTTGTTTTATTTTATGTTTTTTTTCCTGACGTCATTTGGGTTAATTTGTTATTGTAAAAAAAAAAAAGATTTGCGATTAGAAAATCCAAAACATTTTAGAATCTGATGTCAAAATGCATTTTTTATGTTGCTTAAAATTAAAAAAAAAACATTAATAAAACAAGATTTCCATTAATGACTCGTGTCAAACACAGGTGAGCTGATAAAACACCTGTCTACACCTGATGCCGGTGCAGCTACTAGTCTTAGACAGGTAAGGGTTTGTCCAAACATGACGTCATACTCCTGGATAAGGCGAGTCGGTCGGAGGTTTGAATTTTATACAGTAGGGGACAGTAGGGGTGTGTGACGGGGGAGAATAGGATTTGTGAGGTGGGGGTGGAAATCACATTTCAGGAAGTTTAAATTTTTTTTTTAAAGTACACTGTTAAACTGTAGTTTCGCAGTAATTTAAATTTAATTTCTAAAAAAAACAACCTCTGTAAATTATAGCTAAATTTATCAGTGTTAACAATATTGACCAAAAACACAAAGAGATTTACTGATACAGTAAGAACAACAACAATCCCCCCCCCCCACGCACACAAATAACAAAGACCCCTCACATTTATGCTTATACTTTATAGCTAATATTGTGTGATACAGGTAAAAACAACAACTACCCCTCTCGCGTATACAAATAAAAAGAACCATCCCATTTTCTACAAGTAGTATATTTGATTATTTCCTTTTATAAGCTTGTGTATACAGGTAAAAACAACAACCCTCTCCACCCCTACACATAACGAACATCCCTCATCTTCTGCTTATATATATTTAACCTGATACTAACAAAAAAAACCAACCACAACAGCCACCATTACCCTACCCCTACTCCAACAACAACAAAACAACAACACAAAAAACAACAAACACCCTCACCTTCTTCTGTTTGTATTTTAAACCTGACAATGGCAAACAACAACAACAGCAGCCAACATTACCCTACCCCAACAACAACAACAACACAAAAAACCATAACAACAACAACAGCAAATACCCTCACCTTCTTCTGCTTGTACTTGATGGCCAGTTTGAGCCTCGACAGCCGCACCTTATCACAGCTGGGCTCGTCTGCTGTAGAGTTGTCGTGGTTGAGTATGATGGCCAGCTCTCTGGAACCTCTCGTCTGCTCAAGCAGGTCCACCGCGAACTCCTGGCACTTCACGGCTAACTTCTCGTAGTCCGCCTTAAACTCGTTCTCCAACTTGCTCAGCTGTTTAAGCTCACAGCTCAGCTCAAAAGAGGTTAAAATAGGGTCTTTGCTGGACAGGCATATCAAAGACGGACTGGCCAGGGCCTTGTAGGCGTTGATTCTGGAGCGGGAGTGTCTGAGAGAGTCTTCCTGGCTGCCGGATATGCAATCCTTGCAGCTGCAGCGGGCGTTGTGAGGTTTGGGGATGCGGTAGCCTCGGTCGAGAAGGATTTTGATGATTTCGTAGTTGTCGCGGTGTCCGGCGAGGATGATGGGGGTGATGTCGGGGGTGAAGGAACTGGAGGGCACCGAGGTCGCCAGCGACTGGGGAGAGAAGGGTTAGGTTAATCTGGTGGCGTTGTAAGGGTTAGGTTAATCTGGTGGCGTTGTAAGGGTTAGGTTAATCTGGTGCCATTGTAAGGGTTAGGTTAATCTGGTGGCATTGTAAGGGTTAGGTTAATCTGGTGCCATTGTAAGGGTTAGGTTAATCTGGTGTTGTTGTAAGGGTTAAGTTAATCTGGTGTTATTGTAAGGGTTAGGTTAATCTGGTGTTATTGTAAGGGTTAGGTTAATCTGGTGTTATTGTAAGGGTTAGGTTAATCTGGTGTTATTGTAAGGGTTAGGTTAATCTGGTGTTATTGTAAGGGTTAGGTTAATCTGGTGGCATTGTAAGGGTTAGGTTAATCTGGTGCTATTGTAAGGGTTAGGTTAATCTGGTGTTGTTGTAAGGGTTAAGTTAATCTGGTGTTATTGTAAGGGTTAGGTTAATCTGGTGGCGTTGTAAGGGTTAGGTTAATCTGGTGCCATTGTAAGGGTTAGGTTAATCTGGTGGCATTGTAAGGGTTAGGTTAATCTGGTGCCATTGTAAGGGTTAGGTTAATCTGGTGTTGTTGTAAGGGTTAAGTTAATCTGGTGTTATTGTAAGGGTTAGGTTAATCTGGTGTTATTGTAAGGGTTAGGTTAATCTGGTGTTATTGTAAGGGTTAGGTTAATCTGGTGTTATTGTAAGGGTTAGGTTAATCTGGTGTTATTGTAAGGGTTAGGTTAATCTGGTGGCATTGTAAGGGTTAGGTTAATCTGGTGCTATTGTAAGGGTTAGGTTAATCTGGTGTTGTTGTAAGGGTTAAGTTAATCTGGTGTTATTGTAAGGGTTAGGTTAATCTGGTGTTATTGTAAGGGTTAGGTTAATCTGGTGGCATTGTTAGGGTTAGGTTAATCTGGTGGCATTGTTAGGGTTAGGTTAATCTGGTGGCATTGTTAGGGTTAGGTTAATCTGGTGGCATTGTAAGGGTTAGGTTAATCTGGTGGCATTGTTAGGGTTAGGTTAATCTGGTGGCATTGTTAGGGTTAGGTTAATCTGGTGTTATTGTAAGGGTTAGGTTAATCTGGTGGCATTGTAAGGGTTAGGTTAATCTGGTGTTATTGTAACGGTTAGGTTAATCTGGTGGCATTGTAAGGGTTAGGTTAATCTGGTGGCATTGTTAGGGTTAGGTTAATCTGGTGTTATTGTAAGGGTTAGGTTAATCTGGTGTTATTGTAAGGGTTAGGTTAATCTGGTGTTATTGTAAGGGTTAGGTTAATCTGGTGGCATTGTTAGGGTTAGGTTAATCTGGTGTTATTGTAAGGGTTAGGTTAATCTGGTGTTGTTGTAAGGGTTAGGTTAATCTGGTGTTGTTGTAAGGGTTAAGTTAATCTGGTGTTATTGTAAGGGTTAGGTTAATCTGGTGTCATTGTAAGGGTTAGGTTAATCTGGTGTTATTGTAACGGTTAGGTTAATCTGGTGTTATTGTAAGGGTTAGGTTAATCTGGTGGCATTGTTAGGGTTAGGTTAATCTGGTGGCATTGTTAGGGTTAGGTTAATCTGGTGGCATTGTTAGGGTTAGGTTAATCTGGTGGCATTGTAAGGGTTAGGTTAATATGGTGGCATTGTAAGGGTTAGGTTAATCTGGTGTTATAGTAAGGGTTAGGTTAATCTGGTGTCATTGTAAGGGTTAGGTTAATCTGGTGTCATTGTAAGGGTTAGGTTAATCTGGTGTTATTGTAAGGGTTAGGTTAATCTGGTGTCATTGTAAGGGTTAGGTTAATCTGTTGTTATTGTAAGGGTTAGGTTAATATGGTGGCATTGTAAGGGTTAGGTTAATCTGGTGTTATGGTAAGGGTTAGGTTAATCTGGTGTTATTGTAAGGGTTAGGTTAATCTGGTGTCATTGTAAGGGTTAGGTTAATCTGGTGTCATTGTAATGGTTAGGTTTAGCTGATAATTGTTTACCCTTTAAGAGTTGGTTTCAGCGAAGGTTTGTTTACATTTTTGTTACTATATATAAACTATCTCATATCCAATAAATGTCTCTTTTATAAACTGACTTATATCCGGGCACAAAGCGTGTTATGTCTACACACATTCAAATCTGGCAGTTATTCGCTGTTATTCTTTGTTATTACATTTGGCTGAGAAATGATCACAACTTTTATAACTTATTTTTTTTACGCAGGTAACTCTAATTTGTTTGCACGTGCATCCAATATACTGACGCTACCAACGGTCTTTGTGAGTACTCGCTCCAAGAACGTATGCGGCCACGCCACGTGATCGTATGCGGTCACGCCACGTGACAGTATGAGATCACGTCACGCGATCGTAAACAATTAATAACTTCAAAGAACAAATGACTCACATCAGAGAACGAATGACTCACTTCAGAGAACAAATGACTCGCTTCAGATAACAAATGACTCATGTCAGATGACAAATGACTTACTTCAAATAACAAATGACTAGCTTCAGACAAAAAAAATTGACTCTCTTCAGACAACAAATGACTCACTAACAAATGACTCACATTCAGATCACGAAAAACTTAAAACACCCAGGTAATTACTGTGGCATTACCCGCCTCCATGTTATCTACAAGGCAAATTATCCATCGAGAACTTTCCATTAAAACCCATCACAAAGATTTATTTAAAAATAAAAATTACGAACCAAAAAAAAAATGCGTGGTAATCAAAGAGAAAGACTACACAGACGCATGAAGAAAATTTATGAGGCTTCTCAAGGCAGAAAAACCTGGCGTGTTTTCAAAAAAAGAAAAGGTCAATGCTTTAAAAGTTCGTAGAGCTTCTTGTTATAATTTAAATTAATTATAACGTGGAACTTTTCACACCAACCAGTGTATATATAGATTTTAACATGTTAAAAATGATTTTATTAAACCCAGAAAGAATTCGTTAAATTTTTAAATTAAATTAAAAACATTAGATTTCTATAACAGCTCAACAAGTCAGAAAACAGGCCAGAGCTTATGTCTAGGAGGTTTCTCCCCGAGTTGGCCAGATAAAAATTTGTTGACGAAAGCCTCAGTACGTAGCCGTCACTTGAGATTTAAATTGAATAATTTTTAATTCACCTGAAAACACTCTCTCACGCGATTTTTTTTTTCGCTGAGCCAAATTTTTTGTTCATATCAAAACAACAGCCGTCTTCGTCTGTTCGTGTTTCGTTTTAAAACATAAAGCTTCGTGAAGATTCGAATCAATAAAATATCACTTGCAATGGGTATCAAGTAAAAGTACAATAGAATGATGTCTCCTTGACTTAATTGCAATACAAGAAAAAATGTTAAAAAATTACTAAGCGGTTTAGAGTTACAGAATCCCGATGGAGTGAATGGGCAAGGCTAGAAGAGAATTGGTGCGGTATCGATATGGTTTTGACTAGAACGATACCGCAGACGTGATTGATCAAATCGATGTGACGTGGCGTACAGTGACCCTTTGAAGTGACCCGTGGGTTGGATATTATTTCCTGAACACTTTGTCGCTTGTCTGGGTTTTACTTCACTTTTAAAGATATAATGAGGGGAAGAGGGGGAGAGGGGAGATACTCAGAGATTTGTGTGTGTTGGTGTGTGTGGTGGGGGGGGGGGGGCGGAGGGAATAGCGAGCCTGCGTGGAGATATGTGAGGGAGATAAGGAGAGGATATAAAAAAATAAAGGGGTAGTGATCTCCCTTAACCTTTTTTTGTATATTGTTATATAACACTAAGAATGACTTTTCTAATGCAATGTTTTTCTTGTTTTTCTAAATACTTAAATAAAAAAAAACTAATGGAATTGCGTAGAATAAAACAATGTGTATAATGAAGGGGAGATTTAATACTTTATGTAGTAAACATCAATTAATACTTAATTAAACTTCTAATTATTTCACATTTTATTTCACAATGCAATGTAATCGAGTCTTGATTCACCAATGAAAACAGTTTAAAAGAAATCAATTCGGCATATTATATATATATATATATATATATATATATATATATATATATATATATATATATATATATATATATATATATATATATATATATATATATATATATATGTATAATGCTGCTTTGCATGTAGTTACTATCAAGGGTACGAATACCAGAAAGTACACCAAAAGTTGTCCGTTAACCTCCTTCAAATAAAAAAAGAAACACCTCGCGTTAGTTGTATGCTCTGCACTCGACCAAGTGCAACAAAGTACACGAAACGAAGTGTTATCGCCCCTGACTTAATTTTTCTATTTGCGGGTAGTTTATATCGATGGTGCGGTAATACAGTGTGGTGATATGACGTCACGGGCCTTCGATAAACTCGGGTTTGGTGTGCATTATTCACTTTGTTCATGTGTATTTGGTGTGCATTATTCAGTTTGTTAATGGGTATTTGGTGTGCATTAGTTACTGGGTCGTTAAAATAGGAAATTGTGTTATCGGGGAAAACACTTAAAAACTTGAGCATATTGGGTTGGTGGTTTAGTGAACAGGCGGTGGGATGTAGCTTACATGTGTAAGGGTGAATGGATAGTGTGGTGTAAGGGACATAATGGTGAAAGGGGTGTTGTGCAGGGTGGTGTTGGGGTGTTGGCCATGATTGTGTAAGGGGTGTGGACTGTGGTGTTGGGGTGTTGGCCTTGATGGTGTAAGGGGTGTTGGACAGGGTGGTTTAAGGGTTTGGGAATGAATTGTGGTTTAAGGGTTGTCGTTAGGGTGGTGTAAGGGGTGTTGGCTATGATGATGTTAGGAACAGGACACCAAAAATTACATTGGACAGAAAAGGCACCAAATTATTTAATGATTTTTTAAACACTTTTCTTCTTCTTATAACCAGTAGTAATATACTACGAACAACAAACACAATTAAGCCTCATAATTAGAAGAGACATATTTTCGTTGTTTTTAATGAAACAATTTTCATGCGAATTGCCCCCACCTTCACCTCCCACCCTCGGGTCTTGAGACGATCCACCGCACCGTAAACAAGATTCCCAGGATTCCA